ATATATAAAAGAAAGTCCCCTCACTGTAAAATCGACGCCCAGGCCAAACCGCTGGACCTAGAGACACCAAATTCAGGGCGAGCGCTCCTACCGTGGCGTAAGTGCTCGCTAGAAGGGATTTTTTTTAGAAATTTGACCCCTAAGTGGATCAAAAGCGGGGAAATGTGCTCCCCCATTGATTCCTATGCAGCTGCCGGGCAGCTGCCTCTCTGCACCCTCCACTCTCTGATTGGTAAGCTGCAGAGTTCAGTGTTCTGAGGTAAAAAAAAAACACCAACAGTTACAGGGGACTGCAGAGAATTAATGACGGTTGAGGAAATCAGGAGTGGCCAAGAACCACCTGTGAGGTGAAGCAAAGCTGCTGGCCCAGCCTCTCTGATGGCTTCCAACACACTCCCCCCACCTCCTACACCTAACAGGCGGTTGTCTGTCAGGTGCAGCCCCACCTTCACCGTGGCTTCTAATACTCCTCCCTCTCCCCCTCTTACATTGGACAGGCAGCTGCCTGTCAGGTGTAGGAGAGGAGGTGGGATGCTTACAGCCGCTGGGGAGGTTTGCTCAGCAGGATTGCCTTAGCACTACTGCTGGCCCAGCCTCCCTGATGCCTTTAAATACAATCCCCCCAACACTGGACAGGCCAGTGTCTGTCAGGTGTAGGAGCATTGCCAGGGTATGAATGTTTATGGGGAGATAGTAAAGGGCATTTCTAGGAGCCATTTCGATGTGTGCCTCCCTCATTAACCTGAAGAAATGTCCACCACTCCCTCACACCAACTCCCCCTCACACCCCTCACCTCTTACTGCCCCCAAGAAAGCTCCTGGCAAACGTCAAGTTAGATATAACAATGCTACGAGGAGGCAACTTAGGAATGTGGCAAAGACATTTGCACATAGTACTCCTGCGGGGCACTGAGCTGCACAGGCCAAGTACCAGCAAGATCACCCTGAGGTGCGCAGAACAACACAGTGTCCATATGAACAAAACAATCCAGGAACACAAGTAGAGAGGCCATCACTTTCGTGGAAGGTAGCAGGAGCTGACTTAACAGAAGACTGCTTCTTAAATGGACAGTTCTATGTTGCCTGCTCCAGAGTGAGCTCACCAAGCAGCCTGGTGATCCTAGCACCTGAGGGCAGAACCACCACTGTGGTCTACAGAGAGGTCCTTCAGTAGAGGGGGGGGGGAGTACGTATGTCTCACTTCATTTTTTCCACTACAATCTTCTCCATTAGAATTCCTACAACAAATGTTACATTTCAGGCTTCACATCATCAGTATTATAACTGGGTTTATGGAACTTAAATACCGTAGCGAAACACAGGTATCAGGCTAGTTTTACATATGATAAAGGTCTTTGGAAAAACTGTGGGTGTCTAGGGCTGGGAAGAATTCACACTGGGATCCAGGTGCGAGCCATTATTACTGCTTCACTTCCACCTGGGTGTGGAAAATAATGAGATAATCACACCCCAATCTCTGTTTTATACTAGGCCCTACTGTGACATAGGAAAAAAAAATTAAACATGAAAAGTAAAGCTACTACAAAGAAGAAAGGGGGTGGGATTATAATCAGGATGGACTTTGCACACTGGTTGTCCAGACAGTAAAAAAGACATCAATGGCTGCGGTCACACGGAACATTAGCGACACTAGAGAGATGGAAGATAGGCGGATTTTCCGGGCGTGATCTCACCGCCACATCTGGGAAGCGTAGAGCTCCTGTGGCTCACCCGAGGCTTCCCGCCGAAGATGCGGGGTAAAAAACTAGTACCTCCGAGGTACTAGTTTCCGGTAACCGTGGGGCAAGGGTGGGCGTCTGATCGCGTTTCCGGTGGCATCCTGAATTGTCCATTTTTGCTTTTAGTACCTGATAGGTTCAGGACAGACAAAAGGAAATACTACTTTACACAGAGAGTGATTAAAATGTGGGATTCACTGCCAGAGGATGAAGTGATGGCCACAGGGAAAAACAGCTTTAAGAGGGGATTAGATAGATTCCTGGAGGATAAGTCTATCAATGGCTGCTAGCAGTGGTGACTGAGGAGAACCTCCACATTCAGAGGCACTAATCCCCAGAATCCCAGTGCCGGGATGCAACGTCAGGGAATGGCCTTGGCCTCTAAGCCCTGTTGTTGGCCATCCAGAGGAACTGGTTGGCCACTGTGTGAGACAGGCTGCTGGACTAGATGGACCATTGGCCTGATCCAGCAGGGCTCGTCTCATGTTCTTATGTACCTGCACTTGTGTTGATAGGCTCAGAAAGGCAAAGTATAAATATGTTAATAAATGAATAAATATTCTGGCTTAGTACCTGGAGCAAGGCTATCAGGATTCAAAGCTTTGCTCATCTGCAAAACTTTGTCTGTCTTCTTAGGTACTTTGGGGGGTGCCTGCTTTCCTGAGGCTGCCCCATGAAGCTCTGTGGGATAATTCTCCTTCCCTTCTGCATTATGAAGAGGCTGGTAGACAAAGTAAAAGAGGCAGAGGTTGCAAAGGGGTTTTATCATCAAAGTGGTCTGCTTAGCTTGTTCAGGACTGGGTGTTCAGGGCAATGTGGAATAATAAAGTGAGAAGAAATAACCCTGATCACAGTTGTTTGACAGGAAGATGCTTTTTAGATTCAAGAGTGGGAAAATAATGTTGCATTCATTTGAAGCAGGCAGAATAGGAACAATCGCTACATACAATGGGGTCTTTTCACACAGAGGTTTTGCTGTGGGTTGGGCACTGACCAGTGTTTTCCTCCATGCTCCCCCATGTCTTCATTTCCCATCTGTTGTCTTTCCATGGTTTCCTTGACATTTCTGTGTGCTTTCTCAGATCAGTGGTAGTTTGAGAAACCACAGAGAGATGGCAAAGAAAGAGAACAATAATGAGGAACCTCAGAGGAAAAACACAGCAGGTCAGCACCCGAACCACTGTGACTGGAACTCAGTCCAAAGCTGCTTCTCCCAGTGTTCCAGTACTGCTTCTCAAATTGAAACTCTTCATTGTGGTAATTAAAAACCAAGGCACAGCTACAGCCCAAAGTAAATGGAGTTTATACTACTGTAACTGTCACAGTTTGGCCCAAGGAATTCTGGGAACTGTAGTATGATGTGGTAACAATTCTGTATTTGCTTGTCTCAAAGAACTATAGTTCCCAGGGTTCTTTGTGGGAAAACAATGAGCATTATATCTGTTTAAATCTATAGCAGGGGTCCCCAATGTGGTGCCCATGGGCTTTCCTGGGGCCAACCAAGGTTTTTTAGAAAGTGAGCAGGCCAGTGGGGCTTTTACCCAGCAGCACCTCTGACTGGCTGTGCAGTTTTTAAAGAAAAGCTACCATTGCATGTTACATTTCACTTTCATCCCCATTATAAAATTAAAGATCTTTTACACTGGAAGCACATAAGCAGTTAACAACCAGTGTCATATTGTGGTTAGGATCTCGGACTAGGATCTGGGAGACCCAGATTTGAATCTCTACTTTGATATTATATTTGCTGGATGACCTTGGGCCAGTCATACACTCTCAGTCTTACTTCACAGAGTTGTTGGGAGGATAAAATCGAGGAGAGGAGAAGTGTTCCCATTAGGGAGAAAAGTAGGGTGAATAATCAATAAGACCATTCACTTAATACCATGGTAATAACCAGTGGGCCAATATAGCAAACAACAAATGGCACTGCCTCCTGGTGAAGGTTCAGGCTATCTCTCAGCATTTCTGAGGCAACTTCAGGAACAATAAAGGTAAAGGTTCCCTTGCTCGAAAGCCAGTCGAGTCTGACTCTAGGGTTGCGGTGCTCATCTCCGTTTCAAAGCCGAAGAGCCAGCGCTGTCCGAAGACATTTCCGTGGTCATGTGGCCGGCATGACTAAACACCAAGGTGCATGGAAAGTTGTTACCTTCCCACTGAAGTGGTACCTATTTATCTACTTGCAATTTCTTGCTTTCGAACTGCTAGGTTGGCAGGAGCTGGAACTAGAGATGGGAGCTCACTCCGTCATGCGGCACACTCGGGTCTTGAACTGCTGAACTACCGACCTTCCACAGCCTGCAGTTCAGTGTCTTAACCACTTGAGCCACCACAGCTCCTCGGGAACTATACAGGACAATAAACACCATCCTAAAGAAATGGGCCCAGTCCCACCCGTTTTATGCAAGTGTCACCGACCATCTGCCCATTTGTTATTCCATCTGCCTCGTAGATTGGATGCAAGCTGCCTGCTGCTGTTCTGTTTGAAGCCTGGGGGGAGGATAAAAGAAAAGAGTATTAGTTTCATAGCATGGGCATGGACCATGAGAACTCCTAGGGCTGTGAACACTTAAAGGTCCCTAGCTGAATGGTTTTAAAGTTCCTTCCGATTGCCATTTGCAATCTAAGTGGTTTCTATTTATGGTTTCTGGGCAAATTATGGTTTGCCGATAAAAACGGGAGGACGGGAATTGCAAGGTTGTGCAATTCCCAGGCTTGTGGAATTCACTTGTGATTACAGGATCCTGTCCAAGAATGGCTGAACAGAGATCTACCAGATGTTATTGCTATAGATTAGCTGGAGGGTCATGGGATGTTTCAGGACTGTAACTTGATTTTGTCAGCCCCGCCGTGCTCCAGTTCAAATGACAGAAGAATTACATGAGGGTAAAACAGCCTTGACTTCCTTTTCCAGCTCACTTCAGCGAGGGCAGAAATGCCCTGGCTTCCATTCTTGTCAAATTCTATTCAAATAAGGCATAATTGCGAGACAGGAGGAGGTGAAGGCCTTTGCTGGGCAAACAGGAAGAGAAGCCCACACATCCTCCTTTATACTTTAAGATTAGCAAAGATGTCTGCCCCACCTCTAGCCCAAACAGATTGGTTGGGGAAGATACGGGCTGTCATGTTTAGGCAGTGCCCGAGTTCAGCCTTTAGGGATAGAACCCAAAGTTTGCTGGGTCACCTGTAAGTTTGGTCATCTCTGCATGCCTTCCTGCAGGTGTGGCTGAGCAATACATTCATTGCACTTGCAGGAGCTTTCTGTCTCCCCCTGCAATGTGAAAGCATCACTCACAATTCTGTAACTTGTAGGGTATTCCAACACAAACTGCTGCACCCTCTTCTGCCTCTGCTGGTAAAGCCTGGAACCCCTGTTTATTGGTAGGGACAGCTCTTCCATCATCAAGTCCTGAGGGATGCTAACCTTCTTACCCAGGTCTAGCTCTGGGACTGGAAAAAAATACATATGCACAGACATACAGAAAGAAATTCAGAACAGAATAGTAAGATCCATCCTAAGTTGTCAGGTGAGCATTGTATTGAATAAATAAAGATGCAAGATATTGTAACAAATGTCCTACTCCGTTTTGTGATGAGGCAGGTTCAGGTGCCCCAGAACTGTCTCCATTTTTCCACAGTCCCACAGCAACTGTGGGGAATGGAAATGTAAAGGTCCTCAGAGGCCTGATTCAGCTTGGGACTATAGCGGAGGAGAGGAGGGGTTCCTGTCTTCCCTCCCACAATGTTTTCCTGAGCTGAATGGCCCTGGGGTTGAGGGAGTTATTTACCCCATTTTGGACCTGCATGTGCAGTATTCCATGTACATGCAGCTGCAAAATTGACGAAGAAGAAGAAGAGATTGGATTTATACCCCGCCCTTCACAACCCAAAGGTGTCTCAGAGCGGCTTACAAGCTCCTTTCCCTTCCCCTCCCCACAACAGACACCCTGCGAGGTGGGTGGGGCTGAGAGAGCTCTTGACAGAAACTACTCTTTTTCAAGAACAGCTCTTATCAGAACTACAGCTTGCCCAAGGTCATCCAGCCAGGTGCAAGTGGAGGAGTGGGGAATCAAACCCGGTTCTCCCAGATTATCAAACCCAGTTCTCCCAGATTAGAGTCCGCACACTTAACCACTACACCAAACTGGCAAATAACTCCTCTCCCACCCCCAGGGGGAACCTGACCCTGGCTCTCTGCAAAACATAATATGTAATTCGTAATTAATCTGTCAGCTGGACGTTGGGACTGAAGACTCTAAGGCAGGGGGCCTTAAGGCCAGGTGTTGATGTCACTAGTGAGGTGCGGACGTCACTTTCCATGCATCTGGAAGTGATGCCAGCACGTGACCAAGTGATGCCAGGGGCACTGGCATTTGGATTTAACCTCTATGGTTTAACCACAGAGTTTTGCTCATATGCCAATGTGTCCCCAGCATTGCTGCAGTGCGCTGATGTCACTTCCAGCCACCCCCAAGCCCCAGATACCCCCAGATTGATTCTCCATTATAGCCTATGGGGCCTATTGACTATAATGGTCCTCATAGGCTACTACAATGGAGCTCGGAAAAATTTGTTGGTGCGGTTGTTTTTTTTTTGCACACCTCTATTATGCTTTTCAGTATGATCTGTAAGCTGCCTTGAGTCACAGGGAAAAGTGAGATATAAAAAACTGAATAAATAAGTAGTTTGGGCAGGTTGATAACATTTAAGCAACTTCCTGTTTGTTAGGTTAGGCAGGGATCTGACAGTGATTGTTCCTCCTCCTCTATCATACTTGACCTGTAATGCTGGTTGTCATATTTCTCTAACACCCCCACCCCCACAAAGTAGACTACAAGAGCCTCCCCTCCCCAAGTGCTGGTATGTTTTCTGTGGCCCAGCACAAGGTGACCGTTCAAGGCCAGGTCTACCAATATAGTGAAAAGGGTGGGTAGACCTGTTCTCCGGAGAACAGGTCTACCAATATAGTAGAAAGGGGTGAGTGAAATTGGACTTGATTCTGTTTTCTCTTATAATGTTTAAATTATTATTAAAATATAGTTTACATATAATTTAAAAAAATTCTTAGATTTTTAGAAGGTTATGGAAGTAATCTAAAAACTGATTTATGCGATAGTCAAATGTAGATTCACTCACAGCTTTAATGCTACCAGCTTTTTCGCTCATGAAGTAGAATTTCTGCTCACAACACTGTGGAGCTTAGAGGGAACACTGGTGGCAACCATTAGCACAGAGGGGCTCTCCTAAAAACACTATACAGACATTCATTGCAGCATTCCCTTCACCACTGGACTCTAAAGGAGCTAGGAAGATGATCTCCCACAGGTACTCATGCTTGTCTGCCTATTTTACACTTGAAGCTCTCATAACTTTCTGTGTTTTTTATAATGTCTCCATGAGTGCTAAAGAGGACTTTTTTGCACACCTCTATTATGCTTTTCAGTATGATCTGTAAGCTGCCTTGAGTCACAGGGAAAAGTGAGATATAAAAAACTGAATAAATAAGTAGTTTGGGCAGGTTGATAACATTTAAGCAACTTCCTGTTTGTTAGGTTAGGCAGGGATCTGACAGTGATTGTTCCTCCTCCTCTATCATACTTGACCTGTAATGCTGGTTGTCATATTTCTCTAACACCCCCACCCCCACAAAGTAGACTACAAGAGCCTCCCCTCCCCAAGTGCTGGTATGTTTTCTGTGGCCCAGCACAAGGTGACCGTTCAAGGCCAGGTCTACCAATATAGTGAAAAGGGTGGGTAGACCTGTTCTCCGGAGAACAGGTCTACCAATATAGTAGAAAGGGGTGAGTGAAATTGGACTTGATTCTGTTTTCTCTTATAATGTTTAAATTATTATTAAAATATAGTTTACATATAATTTAAAAAAATTCTTAGATTTTTAGAAGGTTATGGAAGTAATCTAAAAACTGATTTATGCGATAGTCAAATGTAGATTCACTCACAGCTTTAATGCTACCAGCTTTTTCGCTCATGAAGTAGAATTTCTGCTCACAACACTGTGGAGCTTAGAGGGAACACTGGTGGCAACCATTAGCACAGAGGGGCTCTCCTAAAAACACTATACAGACATTCATTGCAGCATTCCCTTCACCACTGGACTCTAAAGGAGCTAGGAAGATGATCTCCCACAGGTACTCATGCTTGTCTGCCTATTTTACACTTGAAGCTCTCATAACTTTCTGTGTTTTTTATAATGTCTCCATGAGTGCTAAAGAGGACTTTGTGGCTGCTGTGTGCTGAGAAATGTTTAATGGTGGTCAGAATGGCAAGCAAACATATCAGGAATTGCCTAGACAATTATGGCAGCCAAGGCTGACTTACCATCTTCTCCAGTGAACTCCCTCACAAAAGCCCGGTGCTGCATTTTCCTCCCTCTGTGGCAATCATAATTAATGGTGGTCAGAATGGCAAGCAAACAAACATATCATATTAATCAATCAATAAATAAATAAATTACCATCTTCTCCAGTGAACTCCCTCACGAAAGCCCGGTGCTGCATTTTCCTCTCTCTGTGGCAATCATAACGTGGAAGAGGAAACATCTTCTTAACTGCAAAGGAACCTGAGAGTTGATTGGTGTTGTCACATCTGTTAATGCTTCTGCTGGAATACACCTGTCAATGGGGCTTACTTGAGAAGTTACACACCTTGTAGTTTAGCTCTTGTGTTCTAAAACTTGAAAATCTGGGAATGTCACCAGTCTGTAATGTATTAACTTTTCTGTGTGGTTTTGGTGCATCACTTGTTTTCCGTGAAAATTTCTGACAGAAATACAGATCTGTTCCTTGAAAATGAGAAGCAGCACTTAGCCTGCGATCACACAAACTAAATAATCCACTTTCAATGCACTTTCCAACTGGACTTTTACTGTGTGAACTGGCAAAATCAAATTCAAAAGTGCATTGATAGTGGATTGAAAGTGGATTATTTAGTGTGTGTGATCACAGCCTAAGACTAACCAGAGCCTAATTTATTTTCATGATCACCTTTGGTTGTAGGCCACCAGTACCTTATTTAAAGAACCTGTTCCTTATTTGTCTTCATAAATACTTATGGAACAGAAGAGATGCCCTGTAACTACAACTTTAACACACTACAAGATGCTATATTCTAATCAAGTACTGGTAATGTTCTGAAAGACATAAAACAGTTTTCTTACAGTTTTACATTGTTCTGGCCCATGTGAGACATTTTCTTTTTTGTGTCACAATGTTCTTCTTGTTTTGAAGTTCTTTGGGTGGCAATTCAAAACTTGCCTCTAAACAAATTTAAATTACGGTCAAATATTAGTCTATGAGGGCAAGAGGCCTTCTGAATAATTTAGAAAGCTCCAAGTTCCTGGGCTTCACTCTGGGATCACGCTCTCCACCGTGCTGCAAGACAGTGTTCCCTAAATCAGCAGCAACTATTTTGAGCTACTGATCTGGGAGGATGAGGAGATGTAACCCTGATCCTTGGACTGTGAAGGATGCAGGCAGGGATTTTTGGGATGATGATCTCATAGGGGTTGGAAGAAGGCAGGTTGTTGTAAAGATGCAATAATATTGAAGAGAATTGCCCTGAGTTCCTGGGACGAAGGGGAATAAAATGTGAGAGGTGGACCTCAAATATAATTTGATTTTAAAGGGAGGCATCGTTCATCTTTACCCACTTCTGTTCACTTGGTAGAAATACCACCAGCATAAACATATATCCCCTAGGGACCTATTCCTGTCACTGCAGTATAGCTGAAAGTAATCACTTGTTGCCTGGCCCCAAATCTGGTTTTCCTGCTGTGTGAATTCTGTGTACATTCAGTAATCCTGAACTGTAAATGTATCAGAATTGAGAAACGTTGCCTCTACTGCTGCAGAATGACTTATTATTGCCCCAAGGAAACTGGTACCAGTGCTATTGGCTCTCTGCACTCATCCTTCAATTTATTCCAGGTGCGCCAGAACAATGTTTCATCCATTTACCATCAGCAGCTTTAGCCTGGGCATTTCGAAGCCCATATCTTACCCCCATGCCTTGTCTTCTGCTTTCCCTGGTAATAATGATGTTTGTCATCTAGGGTATTTTCCACACAGGGAAGGCATTTGATGGTTTCCCTGTTGCAAACAAAGCGCAGCAGCAACAGGGTTTTCCCCAGCATGGCAGGTTTTCCACCAGTTTCCCTGCCACAGTCCCCAGCAGCAGCTACCACCCTTCCCTGGGTCACCAGGGCTTTTGCAATTTTTTTTTAAAAAATCAGCACTAGAATATCATTATATCAATATATAATTGTAACTATAGGTGTAGCCAGTTCTCTGAATTCCCAGCTTTCGTTTTTTAAAAAGTAAACATCTAGCTTCTTCCTCTGTGAAGATATGTTTTTTTCCTTATATCTCTCCAAGGGAAGGGGCTAGACCAGTGGTTCCAAAATGGCATGGACTGCCCCCTAGAGGGAAGTGGGATTATCTAGGGGGTGGAAGGGGGGCCACTGGAGGTGGGTCCCTTCAAGCATGTTGTTCACTTGTTTACAATTGACCAGGCTAGAGCACCATGCTGGCAGATGGCACTCCAAGTCGCTGCCTCCATAGAGTGCTGAAATCTGGTGGAAACTTTCGGAATTTTGAGTAAATGTGCTCTAGTCAGACCAGTATACCACATTTTGACAAGTTGTCATCTCCACATGTATTTTTGTCTCTGTCATTTTTCACGTTTTTGCTGTTACTTTTTTTGAATTTTGTTATTGTCTTCCTTTGTGGGATCATGCAAACTGCTCTTCTGAATAATACATTTCATGGGGTGGTGTAGGGTAGAGGCACTGGGGATGTGTTTATGGAACCGAGGAACCAGTGGCCTACAAATGTTTGGGAACCACTTAAAAACAGAAAAATTAGAAGCCCCTCACCCCAGTAGCAGTGGCGAGGAAATGGCTGCCAAAGGGACAGGGTCAGGAAAAATGGTTGCCATGTTGGCCATCCAAATTTTCCTATGCACTCAGCAGCCATCCAGGCTTTACTGCGATCCAGGCTTTACAGCAAAGCAAGTTTGAGAACGATCAGAGAAAAGTAGGGGAACCCCCTAGAGGTGCACAAATGCACCAGAAGAAAAAGCACGCTATCTGAAAGCATTGAACTTGGGACAGGTAGCCCATATGGAAGTTGTTTATGTATTTAAGGTTTGCCTTTCCCACAATTCTCCCACACCTGCCTACCTATACCGTTCACCTTATGTACTTCCAAGACACATTCCAAATAAAAATCAATTATTCAACAAACTAAAATGCCAGTCAACTATTGACAGTGCTAATCCCTGCCAGTCATTTTGACATGTCTACTATTTATTTGGGGGAAAGCTGAACAATCTCTAGGCTTGCCAAGTCCCCCCGGGGGGGCGGGGAAACCCCCACCCCAGAGGCCCGTTCGCCGCCGGCGGCGGATTGGGCCCCGGGGGGAACCCCATCCCAACGTGCACATCACCTGGAAGTGACGCGACCACGTCAGGCACTCTATGGTTTTCCCTCGGATGGTTGTGGCCCCGCCCCCAGCGTGCCCTGTGTCGTCATGTCACTTCTGGGTGATGTGGCGCTCCAGACGCCAGACGGGAGTCCCCTGCTCTGGAGGAATTTACACTTGGCAACCCTAACAATCTGTAGTGATTGTTCAGGTGCCAGAAATGTGGTACTAATGCCTGGCAAACTGAAGAGCCATTCAGTCTTATTTATTTCTTTAGTTTTACTTCATACCCTTCCCTCTCCCCAGTGGGGAACCAGAATAGCTTAGATTGTTTTCCTCTCCTCCATTTTATCCTCACAACATCCCTGTGAAGTATTTATTTTATTTATTTATTATATTAGGCCTTTATACCACCCTCCCTGCAAATGAGCTCAGGGTCGTATACAACAGATTCCTACAAGAATACATAAAAATCTTAGTCTAAAAATACAATTGTAAAAATACCCAATACCCACATGGCGCCGTAATACAATTCTAACCCCCAATTTACTTTACTATAACAGTGCGGGGAGGTTTAAAAGCAGTTAGTGAACCAAATGTCTGTTGGTAGCTGTTGACCATTAAACCGTTGATGTTAACCCATTGATGTTAAAACTGTTGCTGTCCTCAACTGTATGCTTGGTGGAGCATCTCTGCATTACAGACCCTACAGAATGGTAACAGATCCCAAAGGGCCCTGATGTTGCTAGGCAGAGAGTTCCACCAAGCTGGAGCCGAGGCCTTTTGGCCCTGGCTCTGGTTGAGGACAGCCAGATGCTCATTGGGCCAAGGACTTCCAATAGAGGTTGATCACTTGAGCGTAATGCTCTCCGGGGGACATACCAGGAGAGACGGTCCCATAGGTACGCTGGTCTCTGATCGGCCAGGGCCTTAAAGGTCAGAAGCAGAACTTTGAACCTGACCTGGTACTCAACTTGGAGCCAGGGCAGCTGGCGGAGCACAGGTTGTATGTGTGCTGTTACTGGTGTCCCCGTGAGGACCTGGGCCACTGCATTCTGGACAAGCTGTAACTTCTGGATCAGCCTCAAGGGCAGCCCTACATAGAGCAAATTACAGTAATCAAGTCTAGAGGTGACTGTTGTATGGATTACTGTGGCTAGGTTGGGGCAAGACAGGTAAGGGGCCAGCTGCCTAACCTTATGTAGTTGGTAGAACACCAGCCTGGCAACATTTGTGACCTGGGCCTCCAATGACAAGGGGGCATCCAGGACCACACCCATGTTCTTGACTGTCTGCGCCGGTGCTAGGGGAGCATGGTCAAGAGCTGGGAGCTGAAACCCCAATCCTGAATTCCACCCCACCCCCAGCCAAAGAACCTCTGTCTTTAATGGCTCCAGTCTCAGCCAAGTGTATGACCGGCCCAAGGTCACCCAGCAAGCTCCCATGGCAGAGTGGGGATTCAGACCTGGGTCTCCCACATCCTAGTCTGGTATTCTAGCCACTACACCACACTGGCTCTTATTAACATGTAAAATTTAATGTTGATTTAAACATGTTACATATATACATATATGCACACACAAATGCCAGGGCCTAGTAATTTGAATTATTTTTCTGGCATTATTCCTTTAAAAACAACACAAGAAGCTGCCAATCAGACTACTGGACCATCAAGGTCAATATTGTCTACTCAAGGTCTTTCATATCATCTAACACCTGATTCTTTTAAGTGAAGATGCTGGGAACTGGACTTGGGGCCGTTTGCATGGAAAGTAGATGCTCTAACACTGAGCTACAGCCCCTACAAGGAAGATTTTTGTGCTGGCTGTGTTAAAAATCTAATTTTCTCTCAGCCCACTCCAAGCTTTTTGGAAGAGTCAGTATGATGTACTAGTTAGCATGATGGGCTAGAAGAACTAAGGAAGTCTGGTTTCAGATCTTCACTCATCCATGGCGCCCACTCACCTTTAGGTCCACCACCCTCGGTCCGACTAATCTACTTCACAGGGTTGTTGTAAAGATGCAATAATATTGAGGAGAATTGCCCTGAGTTCCTGGGACGAAGGGGAATAAAATGTGAGAGGCAGGTATAAGCTTCCTGAGTCAAGCCAGGTCTCCTACTTGAATTGGCTGGAGCACACTATTTTTTGCTCAGAACTCAAGAGCTACTGTTGTTTGCTGAATTCAAGTGGCATTATCTCCCAGAAAGCTTCAAAGGAAATCTAACCAGCCTCTGTTCCTTCTGCAGCATAAAGGGGACTCTGTCAGATAGCATGATATTTGCAGAGACAGCTAGAAGCTGGAAAACTAATTAGCACTTAGCTGCTGGAGCTAATGTTACAGAGCCAACAGAGCCGTGCATGTCTTTCACGGCTTGAAATTATCCCCAGCTTGGATCAAGAACACAGCTTTCTTCCACTGCTCCGCAGGGACACTTGGCATTCTTTCATGGCACCTGCAGCTATTTGATGTTAGAGACAAGATAAGCGGACTTGCTGGGCAAATGCATAGTCCCTATACGGCACACCCTGTACCAGAAGCCATTTCCACAGTTAAATGAGTATCTACGAGAGACACTGCGGTGTAGTGGTTATAGGTTGGAGGATTATTATCAGGAACACCTGGGTTCAAACTCCCATTTTAGCATGAATCTCACTGGGGTGACCCTGAATCAGTTACAGCCCAATGTACTTCAAAGGGTTGCTGTAACCCTATAAAGATGCACTGGACAACCTTTCTTCTGGCTCAGCAGTCTTGTTCAGGTATCATATCAAACAGATTTCAGAGCAATGCTTTCTAACTGTGAAGCCGGTGTTTCCTTCTGCACACTCTTTTCCTTATGTTC